ACCACTACATTGAAAGGGGAATGGTGAGAAGCAGGTGCACAAAAAGCAGGACAAAACAGGTGCATCGAAAATGGGAAGAAGCATCAAATTTTGAAAAATGTGAAGCGGAGAAGACTAGTATTGAAGAAATAATTGGGAAGGAAAATTACGTGAAGTGCCTTACATAAACAGGAGAGTGGCAGAGGAGCAAACAGGCATTCCTCGCATTGTACCAACAACATTTCTTGTCAGCCTTAAAAATTCTGGACCAGGCATTTTCCTCCTTCAAGCATTCAATTCCTCCTTACCCATGCTTTGAGCAGCAAGCAACATCCACCACTCCCCACTTTCCCACAGCTGCCAATCTCCCACACCCAGTGCTGCTGCTGCTGGTGATGTCAGTGCAAGGGCCGCTGGTGCTACTGCTGTAGCCTCAGCTGCTGCTCCTGCTGCTGCTAAAGCGACAGTGGAATCAGTGAGGGAAGGGGTGATGTCTAAAAGAGAGAGTGGGCTGTCTAGAGGCAACGTGGCAAGCACTGATTGGGTCGAAGAGGCAGAGAGAGAGGAAGCGAAGGAGAGAAGCGCATCCAGAGGGACCTGTGGAAGGGTGGTGAGGGGTAGTGAGGGGTAGTGCAGGGTAGTGCGGGGAGAAACATAGTGGTGTTGATGAGTAGGGAAACATAGCATATTTTGCACTGGACAAAGTGAGAATTTCAATTCGACAAAACAGAACTATAGAATATACTCTTCAAAAAAGCTTCGCCCCATCAAGTTCTCAAGAAAAAACAGGTGGTTTGGGAGGGCATGGTAGGAAAAGAGAAAAGAAAGGAGAGGTGAGCGAAACACCACCCACCGGACCTCACTGTCCTCTCCCTTCTATTCTCACTGGACTCCTCACCTCACGCAGCAGCAAGGCTACAACGACTAGCACGATCTCCACTGACTAGCACAAGGCCCCAAGGCTGTGTGATACAGGACTTCAGCTGAGTTTCGTTCTGCATATATATGCACACCTCTATATGTGTGTGTGTAAATTCTCACCTCAAGCAATAGCAAGCCTACAACCCCCAACACAAGCCCCAACGCTCCTTTCTTGGAAATGGTCTCGCCGAATAGAAGGGCTGCAAGCACAGCCACTGTGAGTGGCTGAGAGTCAATGATGACCTGGCATACCGGAGGGGGTGGGAGGGGACAATGAGAAGCGAGTGAGGCGATTAGATAAGGGGGACATTTGAGTCGAGTCAAATGCCTTTCTGAACAGAATGGCTGCGAGACAGCCACTGTGAGCGGCTGAGAGTCAATTATAACCTGCGAGAGGGGGGATATAGCGCATGGAGGAATGGATTGGGAGTCAATTAGATGAGGTGTGACGTCTGAGTCGACTCAAAAGGGTTGCCGAAGAACACAGCCACTGTGAGTGGTTGAGAGTCAATGATGACTTGTGAGACGAGGGATAAGGCATGGAAAGAAGGGGAGGCGATCAGACAGATCATTAGCAAGAACAATCTGAGAGGCTAAAAGTCCATGACGACCTTGCAGACGGGGATGAGGCATGGAGGCACGGACTGAGTAAAGAGTGAGAGGACCAGCAGGAACAATCTGAGTAAGAGTGATCTGAGAGGCTGAAAGTCCATGATGGTCTGGCAGACGAGCTATACAGGTGTCAAAAGGCAGAGACAGCTTACAACACACACACAAACCAACAAGCACAGAGGGCCATGACAAAGAGATGGGGCAAAGAAAGCTGACACGGTAGAGGTAAGGACATGGCATCATGACAAGGTGAAAGATTACAATGATGTCATTTGAGGGAGATTGGGATGAATGGGAGGTGCGAATGCGAGGGAAGGGGAAGGGAAAGGGACAATGGTTAGACATTGGAATGTGAGAATGTGGGAAGGAAAAAAATATGTTGCTTACTGATCCAAGGCCGGCTGATGTTCGCCTCAAGCCCTCTGTGAGACAGCCCTGTGCAGTGCACATTGAGGAAGTGGGGGGGAGAAGGGAGGGTTGAGAGAGGAGAAAGGAACATTGCTTGCTGATCCAAGCCCGGCTGATGTTCGTCGCAGGCCCTCTGCGGCTAGCATCAAAGGCACCTGAAGGGAAGCTTTTGAGAATTCTCAAAAGAAACACCTCAGAGAACACTGCAAAGTATAAGCCTTTTCTTCTGTTTCCGCATACCTGGAAAGCTGTGGCACCTACGAGGGCGAAGAGGAGGATGGAGAGCCACGCAAGGGCGGACTTGGGCATGGGACGGCCATGGCTGGCACTGGCAGCAAAGGCGACGAGGAGCAAAGCGCAAACTACAGACTACAAAGCCTTTTATCTGCCCGCATACCTGGAAGGTCGTGGCATCCACGAGGGCGAAGAGGAGGATGGAGAACCAAGCAAGGGCGGACTTGGGCATGGGACGGCCGCGGCTGGCGACAAAGGCACGGAAAAGCCTTTTCCATTCCCCCGCATACCTGGAAGGCCGTGGCATCCACGAGGGCGAAGAGGAGGATGGAGAACCAAGCAAGGGCGGACTTGGGCATGGGACGGCCGCGGCTGGCGACAAAGGCACGGAAAAGCCTTTTCCATTCCCCCGCATACCTGGAAGGCCGTGGCATCCACGAGGGCGAAGAGGAGGATGGAGAACCAAGCAAGGGCGGACTTGGGCATGGGACGGCCGCGGCTGGCAACAAAGGCACGGAAAAGCCTTTTCCATTCCCCCGCATACCTGGAAGGCTGTGGCATCCACGAGGGCGAAGAGGAGGATGGAGAACCAAGCAATGGCGGACTTGGGCATGGGGCGGCCACGGCTGGCAGCGAAGGCGACAAGGAGCAGACCGGCCGGGATGAGGCGGACAGAGGCAACGAACATGGGACCTGCCTTTGGTAGGACGTCCTGACGGGGGGAGAGGGGTGGGGGGAGAGGGGAGGTGATGAGGAGCAGACCGGCTGGGATGAGGCGGATAGAGGCAACAAACATGGGACCTGCCTTTGGTAGCACGTCCTGATGGGGTAGAGGGGAGGAGGTGAGGAGAGAGGCAAAGGCGAAGGGGGATGAGGAAAGGGATAGACAACGAGGAGCAGATTGGCCAGGATGAGGTGGGTGGGCCTACATTTGGAAACACGTCCTGATCATTTTCAACGAACAATGCAGGCGATCCCAATTATCAACAATGAATGATACGATGATGGACAATGATCATCAATGGTCAGCAATGATGGCAGAAGAAGATTGGCCTACACAAGAAACAACAGCTGATTGCTTTGTTTCTACCTTCATTGCCACCATTGACGATCCCCAGAAGAAGAATGGCGATATAAGCAACATCGTCTCCAAAATCCCGTCAAAATTCAATGAAGAAAGCAAGGAGCCAGATTGTGCGTCTCCTGCTGCCACTGCTACTGACTCCTTCTGCTGCTCCTGCTGAATCGTCCTTCTCCGTTGCTGCTCCTCCTCTTCCTCCTTCTGCTGTTGATCCACCAATGGCTTTCCTGCAGGTTCCCATGTGTCCCTGTCTTCTGCGAGATTAGGAAGAAAACACTCCACATTGATCCCCGTTAACACGCAATCCAAGTCTGAAATGTCCAATTCCCGAGCCAATGATTCATTGGTTGACGCTCCAGAGTTAAGCTTGCTCGCTCCGTTTGAAGCAGCTCCATTAGTGACAGCTCCGTTAGAGACAGCTCCGTTTGAAGCCTCGTCTCGCCCACGTTTGGAATCGCTCGCAGCGGTTTCTGCTCCTGAAGACGATTTCGACGCTGAAGCGATTGGTACATACGGTGATCTGACGCGACGCACGGGTCTATGTTTGACGCGTGGAACGCGTTGAAACGACGGTTGTGGAGACCTGACGTGGAGCGAGCACTCGCGTGACACTGCTTGAAACCTGGAGCACGACCGTTGTGCAGGGGTACTCGAATCAGCGCTCAAACTTGAAAAAGAGTGTCTAGCAGGGAAAAGGGTCAAAGACGCCATGCTTTGGAATTGGCTAACATGACCCCTGAAGGTGCTCGTCATTTGAGGTGGCGACGTAGCACCACGCATGCCTCAAAGAAGAACCAGCAATTGTCAGGATGTAGCGATTGCAAGGACAAGTAAGGAACTGCTGGGATGTGCTTCTATGACAATGGATGCTCCTTCCTAGACAGCGCGCTTGCAAAGCTCAGCGCTTCACAGCAGGAAGGGGAATGGCATTGTGTGATTCTTTACCAAGCTTAGCTTGCTGCACTGTACGGCTGCCTGACTTGTGGAGTGAATGCAGTGGAGTTCGCGGGCTTCCAGGTCGGGTCGGAACCGTTGGTGCACACGAGACGCTGCGCTATGGCAGGCGGACGAGAAACTTCTTTCAAGACATGCGTTGGCTCGATCTGATTGGTTGTAAAATGAAGTCCACAGTCAAGAGTCACTTAAAGCCCGAGTTCCACATGGCTGTTTTCAAATTCAAGATTCTTGAATATGAACTCGCCAAAAACCAAGTTACCACCCGAAGTGAAGCATTCCGTCGCTTCACAGAGGAGATGTTTTGCAACCCTGATGCATGATTGGCCAGCGACAAAACAAGTCTTCGGAGTGAAGTGTCCACTGGAGATGGAGCACTGTTCACATTCAGTAAACTTGGAAACCAAGTTGTACTAACGTGCAACCATATTCAGGCACAGACACGTAGTCTACTGCGCTATTCAGGACCACAAGAGCGCGTTAGCTCTAATTTTCACAATGGCAGCGAGCTGTCTGTATCCTTGCAGCAGCCTGTGTGTTTTTCTCCATAAAAAAAAAAAAGCCAGCATAAAGAAAAACGTCACGTGAAACGCCCAATTCTGTAGGGACGCGGGCGCTCACATCTACGTGCGAAGCGCAAGGAACGGGCGCTTGCCTGTCTTCAAGACGCTTGCCAACTTCTCGACGCACCCGCTTCCGCCCGTCGCACTACCTTCCGCGTGCCTGCACTCCCTTCCGCGTGCCTGCACTCCCTTCCGTCCGTCGCACTCCCTTACGCCCATCGATCTCCCCTCAACCGTCGCCCTACCTTATGTCCGTCGCCCTCCCTAGCGCGCGTCGCACTCCCTTCCGCCGTCGCCCTCCCTTCCGCCCGTCGCACTCCCTAGCGCTCGTCGCATCCCCTTCCGCCCGTCGCCCTCCCTTCCGCCCGTCGCCCTCCCTTCCGCCCGTCGCCCTCCCTTCCGCCCGTCGCCCTCCCTTCCGCCCGTCGCCCTCCCTTCGTCTCGTCGCCCTCCCTTCCTCTCATTGTCCTCCCGACCGCCCGCCGCCCTACCTTCCCCTCGTCACGCTCCCTTCCGCCCATTGCCCCCCTTTGTCTGGTCGCGCTCCCTGCTGCTCGTCGCCCTCCCTCCCGCTCGTCCCCTCGCAATCCCCGTATCTCTCTCCCCTCGTCGCCCTGGCATCCCCGTCACTGTCGCCATCCCTCCCTTCTCCCTTCCCAACTCCCACACTTGTCACGCCCCCTTTCCAACCCGCACACACCCTTCCTTTCCCTTTCCCTGCTTTCCCATGTTCCTTTCCCTGCTTCCCCCCATCCCCTTCCCTGCTACCCCCCATCCCCTTCCCTACTTCCCCATGTCCCTTTCCCTGCTTCCCCCCATCCCCTACCCTTTTTCTCCCCATCCCTTTCCCTGCTTCCCCCCATCCCATTCCCTGCCTTCCCCCATCCCCCTTCCCTGCTTCCCCCCATCCCATTCCCTGCTTCCCCCCGTCCCCTTCCCTGCTTTCCCATGTCCCCTTCCCTGCTTCCCCCCATCCCCTTCCCTACTTCCCCCCATCCCCTTCCCTGCTTCCCACCATCCCCTTCCCTGCTTCCCCCCATCCCCTTCCCTACTTCCCCATGTCCCCTTCCCTGCTTCCCCCCATCCCCTTCCCTGCTACCCCCCATCCCCTTCCCTACTTCCCCATATCCCTTTCCCTGCTTCCCCCCATCCCCTACCCTTTTTCTCCCCATCCCTTTCCCTGCTTCCCCCCATCCCATTCCCTGCTTTCCCCCATCCCCTTCCCTGCTTCCCCCCATCCCATTCCCTGCTTCCCCCCGTCCCCTTCCCTGCTTTCCCATGTCCCCTTCCCTGCTTCCCCCCATCCCCATCCCTGCTTCCCCCCATCCCATTCCCTGCTTCCCCCCGTCCCCTTCCCTGCTTTCCCATGTCCCTTTCCCTGCTTCCCCCCATCCCCTTCCCTACTTCCCCCCATCCCCTTCCCTGCTTCCCACCATCCCCTTCCCTGCTTCCCCCCATCCCCTTCCCTACTTCCCCATGTCCCCTTCCCTTCTCAAGCCTTCCCTTCCCCATCAACTCCTTTTCATGCCCTCCCCTTCCCCCTTACTCCTCACCTTCTGCCCTCTACTTCCCATGCATGTGCACCCATCTCTATTTCCCCATTCATGCTTTCATCATGTGCGCTTGCTTGTATTCCCCTGCCATTGTTCCGTTGCACCTCACACCACCTCCCCCATGTTTCTTCACGCAATTCTTTCTTTCTTTCTCCCCTCTCTCAGTGGTGAGGCAAAGGAGCATCAGTTGCAAGTTGAGGCCCAGCCAGTCAATGCTTTACATTGCCTTACCACCTGTTTCTTGTGTGTTGTATGCAAGCATGATACTGTATTACTGTTGGCGATATGCATCGCAAAGGCTCTCTATGTACTTTTATTTTTGCAGTGCAAGATATTTTTCCAAGATGCATGGACACTAAGAGAAAAACCATGAACAATACAACTGAACCTTTCTCAAGGCCTTGAAAAAACCATGAGGGGAACAGGTTACGCTAAGAGCATGGCATGGAAGATGGGCTGAGGCGAATTGAAGTACCGGTACCAGAAAAAGCTTCAGTGTAGTCACTGCAATAGCCAGGTAGCGAGAGAGATTACGAGGGATGGGGAGGGGGAACAAGGAAAAAGGTCAAACAGAGAGATGAGAAGTGCGGAGATAGGGGAGATAGGGAAGAGGGGGAAGAGGGAAGCAGGGGGGAAGAGAAAGGAGGTGAAAGGAAGAGGGTGAGAGGGAAAGAAGGAAATACCTTAGGAAGAGGGAGGATAGGGACAAAGGGAAAGAGGGAACGGGGGAAATTGGAAGATGAAACGAGGGAAGGAAGAGGGGGAAACGAAGGTTTAGCAGGTGGGGAAACGAGTGGAAACAGAGGGGGAATTCCTGGGAAATGAGGAGAAGCAACGGAGGGAAATGATGAGGAGCAATGGAGGGAAATGAGGAGAAGCAGGAGGGTACAAACAGGAAAATAGGGAGGGAAATGAGGTGAATCAGGGAGGGTAAATGAGGGGAACCAACGAGGCAAATGAGGGGAAGGAGGAGGGAAAACGAGAGAAATCAAAGGGGGGAATGAGGGGAAGCAAAGGGGGGAACATGGGGAAACAGAGGGGGAATTGAGGAGAAGCAGGGGTGGATATGAGGGGAAGCAGGGGGGAGGAGAAGCAAGAAGGGAAATGAGGGGAATCAAGGGGGGAAATGAGGAGAAGCAGGGAGGGAAACGAGGAGAATCAAGGGGGGAAATGAGGGGAAGCAGGGAGGGAAATGAGGGGAAGCAAGGAGAGAAAAGAGGGGAATCAAGGGGGGAAATGAGGAGAAGCAGGGAGAGAAATGAGGGGAATCAAGGGGGGAAATGAGGGGAATCAACGGGGGAAATGAGGGGAAGCAGGGGGGGAAACGAGGAAAAGCAGGGAGGGAAATGAGGAGAAGCAGGAAGGGAAATGAGGAGATGCAGGGAGGGAAATGAGGGGAATCAACGGGGGAAATGAGGGAAAGCAGGGGGGGAAACGAGGGGAAGCAGGGAGGGAAATGAGGAGAAGCAGGAAGGGAAATGAAGGGAAGCAGGGAGAGAAATGAGGGGAAGGAGCGGGGGAAATGAGGGGAAGGGGGGGAGGAAATGAGGGTGTTGGCGCGCTGATGGCAGGGAGGCGCGGCGAGGCGAGCGGAGGCGCGGTGAGGCGAGCGGAAGCGCGACGAGGCAAGCAGAGGCGCGACGAGGCGAGAGGAAGCGCGACGAGGCGAGAGGAGGCGCGCGGAGGCGAGCGCAGGCGCGGCGAGGAGAGCGGAGGCGCGGCGAGGCGAGCGGAGGCGCGACGAGGCGAGCGGAGGGGCGACGAGGCGAGCGGAGGCGCGACAAGTGGAGGCTCCCAGAAACGACGGGAGGCGTGACGACGAGAGGCGCGGCGAGGAGGCGCGACGATGGGAGGCGAGGCACGAGAGGATGCGCGACGAAAGGATCGTTGGCGCGACAGCGGGTGGCGCGACGATGGGCGGGGGAATGCGGAAATGGGAAGCGCGGCGAGAGGAGGAGCTAAATGAGGGAAGGGAAGGAGTTTTCTGGAATATATATTGCACTGCCTGCGTAAGCAGGCAGTGCAATCGAGTCAGCAAGCTGACCGCGGGCAAGAAAAAAACTAAAACCCATCCGGATGGCATGCCATCCGAGGGAGCCTCAACCCTAAAATTTTAGAGTTGAGGCTCCCGAATGGCATGCCGTAAGCCATGGGGTTTATTTTTTTTTGCCCGCGGTCAGCTTGCTGACTCACTCGAGAGCGTCGTCTAGCGAAACGGTAGCGCTACCGAGCGCTACCGACGCTACCAAGTGCAATATATTGGTTGATTATTACTATCTCAAGAATGGCGGTGTTCGCCAGCACATTTGAGAGCGAAAACGACGGGATCAGGAAGGTCAGTCACGCCTTCCTGATCCCGTCAGTTAGGGTTCGTTAAGCTCCGTCAGCCTGGTCAGCCCGTAAAATTCCTGCCGAAGCTAGGATGCCGTCCGAGCCTAATGCAATCTTTGGTGCCTGGCGAACGCCCTCATTTTTCTCAAATTATCGGATGGAAACATGGCATTCGGAAATGGGGATGTGATTTCCTCCCCGCGCAAATGTCCCGTCTCATGCCATCCCTTGGCAATTGTAAGGAAAATCTCTTTTTCCTTACTTCGCGTCCCTGCTCAACGCGTACATCACTGTAGCACCACAGTCAGCACCGTTACCACTCGCATCGACAATCCGCCCGCCACCTTCGCACGTCGCACCCCGACCTCACGGCTCGGCGGGTAACCCGCGCTCCGGGCCTCCGCTTCGACACTTTTCCCAACCTCAGTCCCAGGCCCGTCGCGCGACAACCACAGTCCATTACCGTTACCACTGTAGTTTCGCTATATATTCTTCGCTCATGCCTTCGCTCATTGTACTCTTGCTTCGATAGTGCAATTCTCGTTCGTTCACTCAATTGCACTCGTAACACTTGGTATTCAGAGCCTACGACCTCTTCTCGGACCGCACCCACACCTTCGCTTCCCCACTATCTCAAATTTTTGGGGGGGGTAGACGTCCCTCAGCGACACAGCACCGCCGCTCGTAGTGCTCTCTCGTAAGCACGCACGGCCACGACTGAGGCTCTCGCTGAGCTCGCCCGACACCCCCGCCATGGCCGAATTCACGCTCGCCACATCGACGCAGGAGCAGCTCGACCGTCTGGTGCGCCAACTCGAGGATTCGGCGCTCGAAATTGCGACGCTCACGGCGGAACGTGACTCCGCGCGTCAGCAATCAACGATGAACACTCTAGCGCCACCACACGCACCGACAAATGCATCTGCACAATCAGACGAGCCGATCGTCATCTCGTCCGGCACACCAACACAAAACAACAGCGTGGGACAGCGCTCAGGCGCAGCCAGCGATGGCGCCGCCCAGCCGATGCCTGGCATGGGAGGAAACAGGGTCGCACCAAGCCCGTGGGAGCCTCGCGAAGCCCGTCGGCACGTGGAGTTCGCGGCGACAAGTGGCGAACAGGCCATCATGGCACCAATGCCACTCAAGCCGCAACGCCCGCCCTGCTTCGACCCGAGCCACCGTGGAGGTCCGACGGTTCAATCGTGGGTCTTCACGATGAACGTCTTCTTCGACGCGAATTACGTCGAGTCGGACGCAGCGAAGATTCGGTATGCAGTTTCGCTGCTAAGGGGCCCCGCCATGGACTGGTGGCGAGTTATCGTGACGTCGCCACGCGCCTACGAGCCACCGTCGCAAGAGGAAGGGCCCACGGGTCCAGCTGTCACCTGGAGTTCATTCTGCGAGACCGCCCAATACAGCACGTGGGATGCGTGGTGCGCAGGGCTTCGGGCGCGCTTCGAGCCGATCGCGGCTTCTATTTCGGCGCGTAAGAGATTGCGCACTTGGCGGCAGCTCGGGTCGGTTCAAGATTACACGAGCGGTTTTCTCGCACTTTGCGAGCAGGTCGGCTACATGCACGAAGCGGAGCGGGTGGACCGTTACGTCGGAGGGCTGAAGCCGGATATCTTGTGAATCAAGAAAACAGGAATGAAATGACTAAGTGAAAGTTGGGTACAAAAGGCAAACCCTAGGCAACTGTACCCCATATGTGCTACCCCACTATAGCCTACAGTAGCTATGTCATATAACTCTGACACACCCCCATAGGCAAAGTGGGGGAGAACAAGGGGTCACAAGACCAGTCAAGCAAAGCAAAGCAAGCTCAGGGTGGATCACAAAGTCACCACACATTCCGAGCACAAGTTCAAGGCCACAAGGCCAGTTCACATGCAGGATTACATATATATATATAAGGCTAGACAAGCAAGAGCAGGAGTATATATATATGCAACAGTACAAACAAGGTCAAGAGGTGAGCAAGTGAGGCAAGGTAGGTACAAGACCCAGCTGAGTACAGAAGCGCTGATGATCACAAGGCGCAAGTGCCTTGGTGAAGATATCAGCAGTGTTGGCCTCAGAGGCCACGTACGCAAGTCGCAGCTGACCACGCTGCTGTAGCTCACGAGCAAGGAAGTAGCGAAGAGCAATGTGCTTCGTTCTGTGCTCCAGTCTCTGCTCTCGACACAAGGCCAGCATGGCCTTGTTGTCTACGTAGAGCACTGGAGGAGAACGAGGCGGCTCTCCGAGGTCAGTCAGCAGGTAGGTGAGCCAGCGAAGCTCCTGTGCAGCCATGGCCCCGGCGAAGATCTCAGCCTCACAACTGGAGCCGAGAACAGAAGACGAGCGAGTAGCCCGCCACGAAACAGAGCCGGAACCAAGGCTGAAGGTGTAACCCTGTGACGACCGCTGCGTAGCCTGGTCGTCAGCCCAAGAAGCGTCTGCGTGTCCAGTGAGGACCACTGGACTCTGCCCTCCAAGCACAAGCCCCATGCCCGACGTACTGCACAAGTAGCGCAACACCCTCTTCGCTGCAGCCATGTGCTCCGGTCTGTGTCTCCCAGGAGCAACATAGCGTGCAAGAATGCTAAGAGAGTATGCAAGGTCAGGTCGTGTGCAGGTCATCAGGTACATGAGGCAGCCAACAAGCTCTGGGTACGGGCCACTCGACTCTACGGACTCATCCGAAGGCAGAGCTGAGAGCGAGTGGCGAGTAGGCAGAGGAGTGGCCTGAGGCGAGGAGTACGTGAAGCCGAAGCGCTGAAGGACCTGCTGCACCATGTGTGACTGAGTCAGGGTAATGGTGCGGCGTGCTCTGTCCCGGGTGATCTGCAAGCCAAGGTAGCTGCGCAGTTCACCCAGGTCTGTGCACGTGTGTCTCTTCTGCAGCTCGGACTTCACGTGGGCGAGTCCAGCAGTGTCAGCTGTGGCAAAGACCAAGTCGTCGACGTACACGAGGATGTAGAACGGCTGCAAAGAAGTGTCGGTGCGCAGAAACAGCGACGGGTCGGCAGTAGAGGGAGCAAACCCAAGAGCCGCAAGTGTAGTCCTCAGTGTGTCGTGCCACTCACGCGGTGCCTGGCGGAGACCGTAGACTGGCCGCC